GATCTGCTCGACGAGATCAATGTTCTCAGGATGATTCTCCATAATATCCATCATAAGTGCCTCGAGCCTCTTCTGCTCCGTCGCAACATAACTGATGACGGCCTCGAGAGCGGTCTGCTCTGAAGGCGGATATTCTTCGTGGAGTAGCCAAATATCGACATAGTCAGGAATATCAACCTAAAAGAAACAACACGTAAATGATCAAACTTCAATACGGTGACTGTACTCACCAACCGAGCGGCCAAAGCTTGCAAAATGGTACTCTTTCCGCTGCCATTCAGACCGATCATACCATACCTTCGCCCCATGTTGAGCTCAAGAGTGGTATCTTTAATATACTCCTTGCCCTCGATAATCATACTGAACTGCTCAATCTTGATGTCCTTGGCCAAGTACTGTGACGTGCGGTGACCAGTGATAGTAGCATGCTGTAAAATCTCAGGCTTCTCGATGGCACTTGCCTCGTTGATTTGCTTCTCCAGCTCGGCCTTGCTGTCCACTGACTGAAACAACAATAGTGTGGGAAAATATGCACATGGTCAACAACATATGTCGGTGACAATACGAAAATTCTCCATCTACTGTACACTCCTAAAATTGCTAAGGAAACTCCTGAGCTCAGCTGAAGGGAGCAAACATACATTCCAACACTTAACAACAACAGTTCAACAAATAGGCTTATACCTCTTCATCGCTTTTAGTGGATTTGTATCCACGTCGTTTTTCCATAGCCTTTTGCTTAGCTAGTTTTTTACGTTCGGCCTCGCGCTTGTTAACCATGGAGTAGGAGTAAAAAGGAAAAAAAACTACCCCGACAATACGACGAATAAACTAATCTCGACTCTGGAAAAATCAGTTTCAATATCGTCTCGAACTTCTAACAGTAGTTTGCAAAACCCGGAATTTGAGTCGGTACCACAGCGTCACGCGCCACAAAACTATCTGATACTCTTTATCCGGACAGTCCACTTCATGGTTTAATCGTTCTACCACAAATTCAGCCACATCAAGCAAGATACGCTAGCCTAAAGTTGCCTTTATGAACTCGACGTTGTCGTATCGATCACCTCGGCGTGCGCTACTTGTAAAAATGGAATCTCGCTCGCCGACAGCTTGATCGATACTACAACTTTCCTCCTCGAGAGTCAGTTCAACCAACCCCCATCACAATGAAGAGAGGTAATACGGTGTACGGCATAGGCTTAGTTGTTCTGTGATTCGCCGGCGCGCTATATCATGTTTTGTTTGACTAGGAGCACGTTTACCCTTCGTATTTATTCTAGTAATTTCGTATATGCGAAATTATTGAGTATCGGAGATTGCATTTTGTCGGTTATTGGATTTGTAATTATCTTCATTTTTTCCTAGGACGCGGATCCGGAGGCGCTAAGATGCGCATCACCCTTGGTCTCAACACCGGTGCTATCCTTAACTGTGCCGATAACTCTGGTGGTAAGAACCTCTACACCATCGCTGTTAAGGGCACCGGTGCTCGTCTCAATCGACTCCCTGCTGCCAGTCTTGGAGACATGCTCATGTCCTCTGTCAAGAAGGGAAAGCCCGAACTTCGTAATATTCTTTCTCGAAAATTCCTTCCCGACTTGTGTTTATTTTAGGTAAGAAGGTCCTCCAGTCCGTCGTGATCCGCCAGCGTAAGGCCTG